CCTGCCCCCCCGCCCCCCAGCAGACCAGGGAGACGCAAAGCAGCTTTTCTCGCCCCGCCGCTCCCGTCGTCCGGGGCAAGAAAATCCCCGTTCGTAACTGCGGATCCGACATAAGTCGGATCCACGTAACTCGGGGACTGCCTGTAATTAAAAATAGGGAACAGTGTTCATAATTAGGATGATGAAGGCTGTCATTTTCCCACTATGTTTTAAGAGACATCATCTTCAAATGCAGCAAGACATTCACTTAAATGTTAAATTTCCTAGTCTACAGTGTTAGAAATAGTTGAAATGGAAAAGGCCTATCAAGTTATCTTCTCTCTCTGTAGGATTATCCCTTACCAGTTTTTCTAGACTTTTCTTCACAGCATTCAAAGTGACTCAGATTCCTCTCCTCTTGGATGAGGCTAGAGCAACAGTGTTGAGACCTTCCTTCCCAAGGTGCTTGTTAAGATTAGAAGTAAAAGGGTGTCCCCACTAAAGGAAAAATCTGATCAGCTACTACCAAATTCAGAAATTAGTGGGAAGATTTATCACAGGATTCTCTTTTGAAGGTATGACTGCCCATTTGAACTCAACACACCCTTGGGCACACAGGTCACATTAGTGCTTAGCACGTTTAGGACAACCATAATCTCCAAAATAGTGATAAGTAGTTGTTTCTAGAGAGATCTAATTCCATGGGTGTGCAATCCATTCAAATGGGCTTCCCCATTCCCGGCTGGGCATAGAATTTGGATACAAGGCATTTGGAAATCAGTTTCCAGTTGGGAATGATTTCTAGACTGGCGTCAGGCCAGAAAAGCAGTTATCCAGCTCCCATACGAGTAATCCTGTGCTTCCTGCTTCTCCTGAAACCTCAAGGCCTACTGGCATAGCTCCCATAGTAAAAGAACCAGGCACTATGAACATTAGACTCAACATCAGTAGGGACTGATTTGCTGACACCCTCTAGAGTGTTGTTATCGATCAGTCAATCATCCAAGAAGGGAAATATGTAAATTCCTAATCTCTGCAGGTAGGCAGTGCAGAACAGTTCCTCATTTATGTACAACTCTGTACCTTACTGAGGCTTGTATTTTAATAGGGATTCTTCCCAAGCACGGATGCACTGAGACAATTCTGTGTGCAGATATCACCCCTATGTGAATACAGGCCCCAACAAAGTTCAGAGTACAAAGCCAGCCACCTTTCTCTTGATCATATTTTGACTCAGGTTTTCAAGATCCAAAACTGATTAGAATCCTCCTTTCCTCTTGATTTTCAGAAAAAAGTTTTATTCCAAATATCCTCTGTGCAATAGCACGTGAGCCATTTGACAGGTGAAACTTGATTCCCTGCAATAAAAGATAGTGCCTGAGAACAATCTTGGTGGAGAGAATAGGAAGGAGTACCTCTATACTAGCGGTCTTTTTAAAACCTGATCACGTAGCCCCCACCATACAATGTTCAGAATTTGGACATCTAAGGTGGCTAGGAGACTTGCATCCTAAAATACAGTAATTACTCACTTAACACGTGCCCGCTTAACATATTTTCGTGATAGCACGATTTTTGGGGGGGGGGGGGGGATTTTTTGAACAACACGACTGTCCCCAAAATAACACGGTTTCCCCAGCTGGCCAGTCGCCGGCGGCTGCGCAGGGCTTCCCCCACCTCCCTTCAAAGTGGCGGAGGATTCGCTGCTCGCCGCGCCATTCCCCAGAAACACCCTCTCGACAGACGCCTTGCTTCCTCTCCTCCGACACAGCTTGCAGGCCAGCGGCTGGGTTTCCTCATTCCCCACCACTTGAAACGCAACTCCCACCTTTCCCATTATTTTCAATGGGAAAATTGACCCCAAATAACATGTTTTCACTTAACAAGATCACTTTTTGAAACGTATCTACTGTGTTAAATAAGGAATTACTGTACAGCTAATCAGTCTCCAAATAAGATATCCTGGAAAATTACAAAAAGAAGCTGGCTGGCAATATAATCTATAACTCACAAACACAAAAAAAGTGGTGATGTTAACTATAGGAGGCTTGGGACAGTTCATCGTCCACTGTTGCTATCAAGTGGTCTTTGGAGGAGGATTCTGACTTTTTTGAAGTTAGCATCAATGAGAAAGACTAGCAGAACAAAGCCTGCAGTCCCCGCAAAAAAAAAAAAAATCATCTATGGGTGTCCATGAAGCAGCTTCTTGTTACCATAACTCCTGTCTCAAAGGTAAAAGCACAGCTAATGGTGGGCCCAGTGCACAACTTCATTAATTAGCTCTGATTTCCTCAGATTTGCCCTGAATAAAGGGACTCAAACACATGATTCTTTCTGGAGTTTGCCTTCACGGCCAAAGGGAAGTCAGCACTGAAAATTGCAGGTGTGGACTGGTAAAACCTTTCTTGATATTTGAATAAGAAGTTCTTTTGCTCTTTGGAATAAATAGAGTCTATAATGAGAGACTGCTCTGGTTCCAGGTGGCAAATCTTAGACCATGAAGACGTAGTTGTGAGGATATTCTTCTAGAGGAGCTCCCAAAAATAAACAAAACAACAAAAAACAAAGAAAAATGTAGGAATGACCAAAAATTGTGCCAAACTTCATCCCAATACCCTGATTTTAGCCCGATTCTCTCTCTCATTCTTAGCCCATATAGTTGGTGAACTCTTTAGAGAAAGGATCTTGTATAGCTCAAGAAGCATTTTAGAGGGCTTCATAGGAAAGTCAAGTAAAGAGAAGAGAAAAATAACCTATATTATCTTTTTTAAAAGATCAAAATTTGTTACGTTTAAGTATCTAGTCAATTCTATAAAACTTAGAAAACATATGTGGTTAAGCAGATTTCTCAAGTAGGAAAACAGCTTGCTACTACTGATGCGTTACTGTATCAATTTGGGAAGCAGAAGATGTTGATAAACTGGAGAGAATTTACAGTAGAGCCACAAGAATAAGTCAAGGATTAGAAAACATGCTTTTAAGGAGCTCAGTCAATTTCATTTAAGAGAAGGTTAAGGGTGATAAAACACACAAGTATTTGATAATGGGCACATGAGACTACAAAAGTATAACATTATCCACTAGAATTTGAAGCTAGACAAATTCAGACTGGAAATAAGGTGTAAATTTTTAACATTGAAGATAATTTACCAAGGATCATAGTGAATTTTCTGTCAATGGCAATTTAAAAAAACAACAATCAATAGTTTTCTAAAAGATACAATCTTGGAATTGTTTTGGGGAATGTTTGAGGTCTGTGTTCTACAAAGATCAAAGCTAGAGGGTTTCAGTGGTCCCTTCTGGCTTTGGAATGGACACATTTTTTCAGAATCATTGCTGTACGAAAAACTATTGTGCACTAAAATAATTTGAGGTTTAGTTCTGATGTTTTCAACACTTTTCTCCTACCTCATCTGCTGCCTTTATAATGGCATTAGCAATCTTCGGCTCAAGACCATAATCCTGATTTACTTCCGCAGCTGCTCGTTTCAAGATCCCAAACGCTCTTATAACTTGAACCTGAAATTTCAGAAATATGTTAATGATATCAACATATATTAGTACAGAAGGTACATGAAGACACGAGGTTTGTCTAACTCCTAAATGTAATTTTAGCAAGTGGACAATCAGATGGTCCACAGGATGACATATGCTGTATGATCCATTCCTCCACTGAAATGATGCAGTACAGAAAAAAAAAATTAAGTACTTTGCAATTCCTTTTCCTTTGTACTTAATGCCTGTTTTGGTGTGTAATGTGGAAAAGGAATCCAAATCCAAAATCTGGACAGATATTGAAAACAATTAAGGCCAGGTCTTTGATATCTAGTGCAGTTCTGGCTCTTCAGAGTACTTCAGTCACTGAAGTAACAAGTACTAGGTTTAGTGTTATGCTTTGTAGGATGAAGACCTTATTTGCAAGCTCTTTGAGACCTGGATGTAAACTCCAAAGGCATGTGTTAAGGTGCTCCATATCCGTAAGGGTGTATAATGAGCCTCCTTTGATTTTAAATTGGTAAAAGTGTGAAACCAAGAAAACTTTGTCTTTTTCTACAGGGCTGTTGCATTTGCTTAGCTTGCGGGTCCCTAAACACTGTGGCTACATCTATACTGCCGTCTCTTGTGCAAAAAAGTATAAAAATGAGGTGAAGCATGGAACATCGGCATGCCTCATTTTCATAATTAATGAGGCTCCTTTTTTGCGCAAGAAGCTTTTGTGCAAAAAGGAGCTGTCTCCACAGCTTATTTTTCCGCAAAACCCCCCTCTTGCACAAGAGCCGTTCTTCCTGAAAAAAAGCGGAAGAACAGCTCTTGTGCGAGAGGGGGGTTTTGTGGAAAAATAAGCTGTGGAGACAGCTCCTTTTTGCACAAAAGCTTCTTGCGCAAAAAAGGAGCCTCATTAATTATGAAAATGAGGCAGCGCAATTTTCCACACTTCACCTCATTTGCATTTTTTTTGCACAAGAGAGGGCAGTGTAGACATAGCTTCATTTAAAATACACATAACCAACCACTTGTTTGACTTCTCCTTGTATTTTCAGAGTTGTTGTTCATTTGTTCTCTGTGTTGCTTTATCATTTATTTTTACTGTTTTCTGTGTGAAGTATTAAATTGATATCCTGTCGTTCTGTCAGGAGGCTCAGCTACACACAGTGAAGCCACATCGGGTGCATAAATATAAGATGTAATATGCTTTGGAATACAACTTCTCATGGCCTTTACGCATTACTAAATATGGGGCAGGATCAAGCTCTGTCTACACCATCCCTGACAGATGTCTATCTAACCTGTTCTTAAATATCTCCAGAGAGGGAGATTCCACCACCTCCCTTGGCAATTTATTCCAATATTTGACCACCCTGACAGTTAGGAATTTTTTCCTAATGTCCAATCTAAACCTCCCCTGCTGCACTTTAAGCCCATTACTCCTTGTCCTGTCCTCAGAAACCAAGAGGAACAAATTTTCTCCTTCCTCCTTGTGACACCCTTTTAGATATTTGAAAACCGCTATCATGTCCCCCCTTAATCTTCTTTTTTCCAAACTAAACAAGCCCAGTTCATGAAGCCTGGCTTCATAGGTCATGTTCTCTAGACCTTTAATCATTCTTGTTGCTCTTCTCTGTACCCTTTCCAATTTCTCCACATCTTTCTTGAAATGTGGCGCCCAGAACTGGACACAGTACTCCAGCTGAGGCCTAACTAGTGCAGAGTAGAGCGGCAGAATGACTTCACGAGTTTTGCTTACAACACACCTGTTGATACAACCTAGAATCATATTTGCTTTTTTTGCAACAGCATCACACTGTTGACTCATATTCAACTTGTGGTCCACTATGACCCCTAGATCCCTTTCCGCCATGCTCCTTCCTAGACAGTCGCTTCCCATCTTGTATGTATGGAACTGATTGTTCCTTCCTAAGTGGAGCACTTTGCATTTCTCTTTATTAAACCTCATCCTGTTTACCTCTGACCATTTCTCTAACTTGCTAAGGTCATTTTGAATTATGTCCCTATCCTCCAAAGAAGTTGCAACCCCACCCAGTTTGGTATCATCTGCAAACTTAATAAGCGTACTCTCTATCCCAATATCTACATCATTGATGAAGATATTGAATAGTACGGGTCCCAAAACAGACCCTTGCGGAACTCCACTTGTTATCCCTTTCCAGCAGGATTTAGAACCGTTAACAACAACTCTCTGACTACGGTTATCCAGCCAATTATGCACCCACCTTATCGTGGCCCTATCTAAGTTATATTTGCCTAGTTTATCAATAAGAATATCATGTGAGACCGTATCAAATGCCTTACTAAAGTCTAGGTATATGACATCCACCGCTTCTCCCTTATCCACAAGGCTCGTTATCCTATCAAAGAAAGCTATCTGATTAGTTTGGCATGACTTGTTCTTCATAAACCCATGCTGGCTATTCCCTATCACTTTATTACCTTCCAAGTGTTTGCATATGATTTCCTTAATTACCTGCTCCATTATCTTCCCTGGGACAGACGTTAAACTGACCGGTCTGTAGTTTCCTGGGTTGTTCTTATTCCCCTTTTTATAGATGGGCACAATATTTGCCCTTTTCCAGTCTTCTGGAATCTCCCCTGTCTGCCATGATTTTTCAAAGATCATAGCTAAAGGCTCAGATACCTCCTCTATCAATGCGGAGAAGCAGGCAATTAAGCAGGCAAGCAAGAATCCAACACTTATGCCTCTTCTGCTACCAACAGTCCCGGGCCCTCTGTCCGTGCTCTAGAGGGCTGGTAGCGGGCACTGCTCCAGCGTGGGGAATTCCTGGGCATCCATATGGCCTAGATCCACAGGTGGGACTGTCAGTTCAAGCAGTGCCTTTCGGCTGTTTTATAACTATTCCTTTTTTAGGGGCAAAAACATCCACAAGCAGATTCTAGCAAGAAACAACTGCTATCCAATTCCTACACATCATGTCCTTGAGCCTAATTATCTCACAACTTGTTTATGCAGCTAAGGAGGCTTTGAGCCAGCTCATCACCGGTTAGAAGCGGCCCAGCACTGGCTTCAGCCGAGCCACTTGCAAGAAACAGCAGGGGTAATTGACGGTCAACCCCAACATATTCTTTGGAAACTGTATAAGCCTGAGTGAATACTTTTTACACTCCTTCCAGTATCAGAAAATATTGTATTAATATGTGCAATTAGAACATGACTATTTCTAGTTGACTCAGATTTGTTTAGCATCTTAATAAAGCTGCACTGTGTGGAGATGATATGCTTTCAATAGGGATGATTTTGTGAACTGCAGAAGTCCATAGCATAATATGTTTTAGCAGATGCTTCATTTTTTGATGTAAGCTTTCCCTGAAAATTTAGTGGTCTAGTATGGTAGGAGGAACAGGTTATTAAATTGGGCCCCTGAAGCATATTTTGATGCTTTCAGTTAATGGCCATGCCTTTCTTTATATAGCTATTTTGAGTATACCATGTTTTGGTGCGTTTACTAGCTTGAGTTGTTAGAAAGGATGATAAAGTACATGTATTTCAAGGGCAGTGATATTTTATTTGATTTCATATTGCATATCTTAAGCAGTGACCAGTTAATTATGCCTTTTTTAATATTCTTCTTCCATATCTATGAACTGTTAAAAAAAACAGGGTTTTTGTACTGGTAGAATGTATCTGTACATTATCTCAATACTGGTGCACATACCAAAAGGCAATCTGTCCATGGATGGAAAAAATGAGAGGGAACACTGGTAGGAGGGTAGGCATTCAGAATATACCGGAATGGTAATTGTAAAATACCTGTCTAAAACTGGCATATTCTCTGGCAAGTAATGGTGTAACAAGAAGGGAAGGTGTGAATTGAAAACCAACTTGCTCCTTTACAAATGTCAACAATAGGTACTTGAGCCACGAAAGCTGCAGTAGAAGAGTGCTCTAGAAGAGTGTATAAATACCCTAGATGGTAGGGTCATGTTAGTCAGACAGTAGCATAAATGGGTCCTGGAAGAGATCTAGGAGGAGATCCTCTGGAAGAAAAGTGGATCACCCTTAATTCTGATAGCAATTGAGACAAAAAAAGGGTAGAAGTTCAGAATGATTTAGCATTCTCTATGTAAAAAAAAAACCTAGTTCTCTTCTCACCTCCAATTATGAAGCCTTTTTCATGTTTAAGGTGACAGCATTTTAGAAATAAAATGTGGGAAAATAGGTAGCGTGGTTAATATGCCTTGTCCCTCTGGGTTTGCCTATCACGTATGATCGGCAGGAGGCATTTAAAAGGGAAAAAACTGCAGTCGTCTGATGGGGAAGGAGCAGGATCACCAAAGCAGAAGACTGCCAGCAGGACTCCTCAAACAATAGGTGGAACTCCCACCCAGGAGATCTTCACCCCGACTCTACAAGGAGTACGATTAACTCCCAGGGAGAGACTCAAGAAGGCCTGCAAGAGATAAGGGCTCCTTGTAAGAAGAAACCAGGGCCTATGTTGGAGCCACCAACTGCAAGTAATTGAGTGTAGTCCAGTTCTTCCATTGTTTCAAAACAAATCTTAGGGATCACCTTTACAGTTTACTTGGGGAGTCCCCAGAACTGGAAGATGTGTCTGACTACATGTGGGCATAATGACCTCTCCTGTTCATTAGCAAAGTATCTGCTCAGCTGATGTACCACTGTGTTTTGTTTCCCCAGAAGGTAAGCAACTTTGTGGTGACTTGAGTGGAATCACATGCACACCCAGTTTTCAAAGGTGAGCTGTTACCACTACCATGCATTTTGCACAGGGAACATCTTCCAGGTCAAATGGAAGTACAGCAAACAGAGTGACAACTGTTTGACAGGAACCTGGGAAACTTTCAATGGTCAAGACATATTGTGATTTGGAAATAAGTATCCCAAATCAAAGACAGCATGCCAGTTTCCTTGTTCTCGGGAATAACTGATGCTAGGGTAATCATAAGGAATTTTATTTTCTTCAGGAATTTGTTCATAGATTTAATAGACCATCTTTTGACTCAGGGATCTGGAATTTATGGGTATAGAAGCCTCCTCCCTTGAAAGCCAATTATATTATTGTATGGCCCCTTTCTGAGGAAGAGATAGGACTTCCCATTGAGTGTAATCTTGTGAGAATGGTCCCTCAAGAGGGATGAGAAGGTTTGGGGAAAAGGAGCTCAAGTAAATGGATGGCATACTCCTGTTCCACTGTGGACGGTGGGGGGGGTTAATATGCAGACCAACTGGATTGATGTTATGTAAGTCTAGGCATGTAGGAAGTGTAACAATTGGTAAATAAAAAGGCAAAACAGATGGAAGCTATATTCCCTGGAAGCTATATTCCCTGTAAGCTGTACAGCTACATGGCAGCACAACAGGCTATCAAAGGCCATGCATGTGGGGAGAGGTGCCCCTCCTGCATCCTAGCCCCACCAGAGCTACTGCAACTGGGGAGAGGCACCCCTCACCTGGCCCTGAGCTGCAGCAGTGAGAAGGATGGGGGGAGGGTCTCTCTCCTTGGCACAGCCCTGAGGCAGCCTGCACTACAATTTCCTCAACTCGAGCCCCACCCCCAACAATATCCTCACCTCCTCATACCTCAAGCCTCTCCCCCAGCCCTGAGACCACACACTGAACCTCTCAGCCCCACCCCTGCTGTACACCATGTCACACCTCACCTCCCTAGTGATGCACACTACAAAATCCATTCATATATGGATGTGAAAAACTAGAGGGAACTAGGGCTGGCCTTACCATGAGGAGAACTGAGGCGGCTGCCTCAGACGCCAGACTTGGGGGGGAAGGGAGGCGGCGGCACCACTAGGACACAAGAGTGTAGAAAATTGTGTCTGCTGCTGGTGCATATGTATTCTCTCTGTTCTAGATGCACAGAGATGGTGGAGTGCTGTGCTGGAGGAAAGAGGGCACAAAGAACAGGAAGAGGACAGAATTGAGACCTTTCAAAGTTTTGGCCCAAGCGAGGAGGCATGGGGGCGTCATTTGAGCTCCCCGCCTCGGGTGCCAAAATGTTGTGGGCCAGCCCTGGAGGGAACACTGGATGGAAGAGAAAAGACTGTTATGCAATCCCATAAAAATTCCTGTTTAGAAGAAACAGCTACATGGGATGAGCTCATTGATGCTGAACTGGAGGACAGTGGAGTGTGCCTTCTATAACACCTTTTTTTCCTAAATGAATCTTGGGAATGGAAAGCAAAGTTGTGGGGTCAAAAGGTTGTTGATGACAAAATACTGTCATTTTGTTGCTGGAGTGTTGATTCTAAGGAATTGGAGTATAGCCTTACAATTCTGAAGATTGTCATAATTTTTCTCAGAGAACAGAGTCGGACCTTCCTTTTCCTATATTGTCTGTTGAACTTCGGCAAATAGTCAGAAAGACCATAATGATGAATACCTTATCATAGCAATGATGCCATAATTCAAGCTGGATACAGAGGACCACATTTCATGGTCAGTGTGGTGGTGATGGAGTGACTGCCCTCGTATACCAGAACATAATGGCGGGCAGCAATGGGGACTCTAGAGCCATCCTGACAGTTACTGTTGAGGAGAAAAGAAATCTCCAACATCTGTGTATGAGGTTCTGTCAAGGCTGTTCCACACTCTGGCACTTCAAGTGCAGGGCCCACAAGAGTCCTTAAAAATACTCTGCCCCTAAAGTCTTTTGCTTAAAAAACAAAACAAACCACTCGCCAGGGTCTTAGACTCCAAGACTCCCCAACCTTCGATGATACATTTCCACCACCCAAATGCAGAAACTCCCTTTTTTAAACCCAGGTAGACACACTTGGGAATTTCTTCCTATGGGGTTACCCCAAGCTCTTTAACCCTTGCTCATGAAAGAACTCAAAAACTGTAATTTCTTAACAGCAGATTTTCAGTCTCAAGCACATAGAACCTCTTGCTTTTTAGGACACAGGAATCAAATCATAGTCTTAAAAATGGTGATTTTATTAATAAAACAAAGATAACATACTTGGTAAAGCATACTTGGTTGCTAGGTGTTACAGAGTAACTAAAAAAAGATTTTAAGCACTGAGAATTGCTTCCCTGGGATTCAGTTTCAGTTACAATGTTCGAGGAGAGAATTAAGTCAGCAGAGAGAAGTCCCACAAACCAAGAAACCTGACTGCCTCAAACTACACATTCCCCGTCTACTCACATCTATTGTTACATGGATCGGTCCTTTTAGATATGAATATAGCTGAAAACCCCATGTCTGGCTACCAAGACTTCATCTCTCCCTCTCAGCTCCTGCTCAGAGCTCACACACAAAGCAGACTGAAAACAGGCAAAACTTATTTAATTTCAAATTTGTCATGATCTTCACACTGGCTGTCTGGGCTCCCTGCCAACATTTCTTGGATACAAAGTGTTCTGGGTTTAATCCTGTACAGGCAATTTTGTTACTGAATGCTGGGATGTCTAGAAAAGGGTAGTACTGCTCCCATCCATCACTGGTGCGCATATACATACAGTGGAATAGATATGTACAGTCACTCTAAGAATAATAAGACCTTGATGTGAGGACTGAACCTTCCAAGCATAACTGAAAGCTGCTATTAATCTTGTGTTCCTAACTAGTTTCTAGCAAAACTATAAGGAAAAGTGACTTATGTTTTTGAGAGCTTAAAAAAAAAAAAAAAAAAAAATCAGGAAGAAATGTAGATTCAAGTTACTTACTGGCATTCTCTCAGTAACTCCACCTATCTTGAAGTTCATTGTAGATCTCACAGTCTGGGCACCATAATACTTGTCATTTGGGACCTTTAGTTCACCAAAGGTGTCATATTCTATTCTAAACGAGTCTTGGGTGGCCTGAAGGGGAAAAAACAAAAACATTTCTTTAGAAATAAAATAAAGGTCTCGCATATAGTAAATGAAACAAGATAACCCCACAAGAGAGTGGGGAGGTGGGGAATGCTACAGATGGCCATGAAATAAATTTTTAACATTGCAACCCCTCTCCCTCCATTTTTAACTTTTTTATTTTGAAGCACTCATTTCTACACTATAGAAGAATCAAAAGTGTTATTATGTTTAATACATAATTCAGTACTGGATCATAGTCAGCCAGTAATAAGTTGTTTGAGAGAAACAAGGCTTCTTCTGCCTGGTGTATGAAGTAATTCATACTTATGAAGCATTCAGTTTCTTTCAACCAACTATCAATTCACCCCACAAAGTATAGTCACCTATTCTGCAGCTTCAATTGCAAAAGCTGAAAGTACACACAGATCTGGACTTCGTATGACATGTATTTAGAGAAAACTCAGTCTAAACGTTAATATTGTTTTGGGACAAAAGAATACATTTTATCTAAGCCATAGATACCAGAATGGTTTTTACTGTTAATAACAGAACAGGTTGAAACTCTCTTAACCAGGATTCTCTAGTCTGGCATCATCCAGACCATGCATGTTCCAGGACCAGAGCGTCTCAGTGGAGGGCTAGCACCTGGGAGCCCTGCAGGGCAGCAGAGGCTGACAAAGCAGTGTGGGCCAGCAACAGGGGGGAGCTGGCTGGGAGGCTGGCGGTAGGCCCAGGGCTGGAGCAGGTGGTGGCAGGAGGGCCAGAAATAACTTCCTCTGGTCCAACAAAATCCCTCATTTGGGAACTGTCAGGTCCTGAGGGTGCTGGCCCAGGAAGTTCCAGCTTGTAGTTCCACAATAAGAGGAAAATGCCCATAACTAAATATTCCACATATCTAGTATGGTTCTGTTATAATATTTTATATAGCCAGGAGCAAACATTTAGTTGACTTAAGTGTATATTTTAGAGTTTAAGTATTTTTTTGTTGTTGTTTTTTAACATTTGTCATGGCGAGATAAAACCACATGAGATTGCTCCACGTAAATCATGACACAATTTGTCCTCCTTTGGCTCAGCTAGAACCAGCAGTATTTATTAAGGAAAATGTAAAAAAGGACCCATGCTTCTTACTTTAATTATCACCTTGTTCAGTGGTTCTCAACCTCTGTCCCATGGGCTGTTTGTGGTCCAATCAGTACACAGCTGCAGCCTATATGACATCGTTAGGACCATACTGGTAGTATATAGAACATGTGGCTGCACACAGAGAGCTGCATTTGTGGCCAGCAATGGTAAACAGGTTGAGAACCACCAATCTAGCTCCTCTTAGTTTTCTTATCCTACTCAATTTGCATAGATCATTCACATATGCTCTTGATCTAGCATCTACTGAACATTTTCTATATTTACTTTTACAACTGCCAATGCTTCACTAGGTCAGCGACTAAATTTACCCTTTGAATTCATAAACATGCCAGGCACTGATATCCAAATTAGCCCTGTAGTATCTGTAACTGGTATTAGGTTTCATAAATGCCCAAAAGCATTATCTGGGCACTTAAATGAAGCAGCCAAATTTGAAGCCATGTCCAAGAGACAACTGATGGAATGGAATGTAGCTTTAATACTGAAATCATTATACCAACGGCTAGTCCTCAGAACCAGATATACTCAAAGATATAAATTCATTTTGACTATCTGTGATCTATTATAAATTAGCTCCAAGTTACCCTGGCACAGAACCAGTTGCTCAAAACTTGCAAAGTTCCAGTGTCAACAATGGGAGAAATTAAAATAAGTTAATGGTTAAGACTGATGACAGCTTACAGTCCACTGATCTATGAACTATGGAGTTACCGAGTATTAATTCAATTACTGTCATCAGAATGCACGTTTCACAAATAAAAATTATGAAGTCTTTACTGTAGGAGCAATTCCCTTGATTTAAGCATCATCCAGTGTTTAACGATCACTTTTGACAAACAGCCTTCAACAATTCAAGGAATATTTTTTTTCCTGTGTTCCAAAATATAGGAATCACAACCAATCAGATCATTGGTCCGTAAAGTCAGCATCCTGTATCTAGCTATAGTCAACCCCATATACTTCTGACAGGCAAAAAGGCCAATAATGCACACTTAATTATGCAAGTCTGTAGAAGCAGGGTACAGAATTTCTTCCTGATTTAATCTGGATTAACCTAATGTCCGTGTATCTACAAACAGTTTCACCTAAAGAAATGCAAATATTTTTTAAAAATATATTACGTAACTTTGTCCTGTAGCAGTAAATTCCACAAGCTATGGACACTGCATATAAAACACATGTACTGTTTTTGGTATTTAGTTTGTCTGCATGCCACTATTTAAAACTAAATATCCTGATCCTACGCCCTACTACAGGTCTTACACAGTTCTCCAGTGGCATAAGGGAGCCAAACAGCCTTCTGTGCGAGACCGTAACAGAATCATGGCTAGGGTGATTATGAGGATGGATCAAAATTAATTATGTTTTTTAAAAGCAGAAATGCTATTTTTAAAATCAATTAAATATATCATTAAAAACAAACCTATTTGAAACTGCATATGAAACTAGAAGATTTACCTGGTGCTACTCAGGTCCTTAATTTCTGTTTTTTGGAAAATAAAATGAAAATGTACATGCTTCATTTAAATCATTGCTCAGGGATGGGGATGGGGATAAGTGATTCAGTATGTAGGTTGCCCAAGGAAGACAAGACTACCCCAGCTCTCTCACAGCTACAGCTTTGGGACAGGTGAGAAATGCCTCTTGATGGCCACTACAGCTCCACTGGGCACAGGCAGGGCAGGGGTGCATATCCCGCTACTCGGGCAGGTCCAGATTTGTCCACCCTCCCCCCATGGTTCACAACCAGAGTGAGGAATGCAGCCAACTGTGCACTTTCCCCATTCCCCTGATGAAGGGGAACAGCCAGCTATGTTGCTGTATAAACTGGGGAGGGAGTTTCAGCCCTCTCCTCCCTCTGCCCTCCCCAAGGGGTATCTGGGGGGTAGGAGGCTTGAAGCTGTGGCAGTCCCAGATGGAGGGGGGGGGGCATGCCTCCCCCAGCCCGCCAGTCCCTTTCACCTGTCTGGTGATGCTCTTTTCTGTATGGTTTTATGAGACGCAATCCTATTCCTATTTTCCTGGCACAACCTTATCTTGCTTTAAGTTATGGTAAAAAGAAGCTGTATACTGAATTTGGTGGTCCTAGCTCTTACTGTTTAGGAGGAGTTCTTGAACAGACAGACACACAAACAGATAGACACACAGAAAAAATTTCTCAAACACATAGTAGATTATGACAACAAATTAAAGTTTAAACTTGTAATATTAGAATCATTTAAATTAAATAAAAATATTCAAGCAGTATATTTGCTGTGAAGTTTTAAAGAAAACCAAACTAAAAAAATTGGTGGAAGTCACTGGATAAGCATATCAAACTACTGTTTGCTGAAGTACTAAACCAGCTTTTGACAACCAACAGACTCTTCTAGGGATGTAAAATCCATTTTAAAAAGTTAACTGGTTAAATGTTGTTACATTTAACCAGTGAACTGAGATCCCATGGGCCAGGGGCCATTCGAGTCCAGCTGGGCCCACTGTGCCACAGCCCGGCTGCTGGTTAACTGCTTACCCGAGAAGAATCACCAAATAAGGTGATATCAGTTAACCCTTTACATCCCTACTCTCTTCTGCAGGTAAGGCAAGAATACATTCTTCATTTCAGTTTATTCACCTAGTTTACCTCAATTACTAGTTAATTCAAAACTGAGACGCTGAGAGTTGAAAAAGCAGTCAAGTGTCCTTCCTCTTCCAATCTATGAATAAAAATGAAGTCTGAAAGGATGTGTGCTACTTCTAAAATACTGAAGGACATGACTAGAAAAAAAATCAACTTACTATAGTTTATATGTCCTGTGCTTAATAAACCAGTGAGTTTTAAATGTAATACATGTTTTGATAAGAAAAAGTGTTTCCATAACCAACACTGTGTGTCGGTCCCCTCCCCAACCAGAAGACTCCCTGGCTGGTCTCAGCCTAATCCCGCACCTGCCTGGAGGAATCCTGGACTGACCACAACCCCATCCCCAACCTGCTCAGAGGAACCCTGGACCAGCTGTAACCTTGCCTCCCCTCACTTCCACAGACTCAACCCAACAGTATTTGCTACTCAGCCACCCTGAAACCTTTGATCAGATATATCAAAAGCATCTTGAAGAAACACTTTTCCCTAGAGCATGTTGGGTCTGGGGAAGGAAAGGGAGGTATGGCTGCAGCCAGCCCATAGCTCCTCTGGCAGAGAGAGGGTCATTCTCAGGACTCTGGCTGAGGGAAGGAGATAGGGAGGTTTGCAGCTCCGGCCACAGGGGGGGCACGACTGAAAGGAGCAGAGCCCAGAGCTAGCCTTCCCCAAGGGGAGTGCCATACACCCATGCCTGCAGCCCACCCAAGCAATTTAAAAGAGCTGCCAATACTGCAGCTCTTTTAAATTGCCTGGTCTCTAGGTAGTTGCCTCTCCCCCATCACCCTCAGTCAGTGGGATCTAAGTCCTACATCTCTCAAGTTATTAGTAGAGATGTGGAAGTGTAAACGTGTACATGGTTAACCAATGAGACTGAGCTCATTGATTAACCTTCATGATTACACATAGGACTCCCCTCCACACTGCTGCCTCTGGACCAGAGGCAGCAGAGCAGGGAAAAGGGGGAGAGGTGGCTCCACAGAAGCCAGTGTGTGTGGGGAGCCAGATTAGAAGCCAGCTCCCTGTGTGCACTAGCTCCTGGGAAGCCGCCTCCCTTCCGTTTATAAACAAAAATTTCAGTGGTTACACATTTCCCTAAAAAAATGTATTTTAACATCCCTAGTTAGTAGGCCAGTGTAGGGGACAACTTCCACTGATGGGAGCAACATTTTAGTGTAGACACACAAAGTTAAGTCAAGGTAAGCTGCTTGTATGTAATGCGGTAGTGTAGACCAAGTCTAGATCATGATTAAAATCTGTCCTACTTCAGCTTTTCTATGTCAAAGCGACTATACAAATCTGCTAGTTTCTGATAGCTTGCTGGCTTATGCTTCCTGCAAGGCCCAACTCAAAATTAACATAATCTTCTACCCTATAAAATAAAGCCCAGCTTCTCAAAAATCCACACACATGTCCTCTGACCAAAAACACAGTTCAAAGTTTAAGTAATCTAAACAAATATAACTGTATAGGTTGAAGCTCCCAAATCCTTTACTCTCTGGTCTGGCAACATCTGTGGTCTGGAAGGAAAGACAACAGATGTTGCTGTACAAGACAGCCAGCTGGGAGTCCTCTGGGTGCTGGGGAGCCCCAGCTGGGCTGGCAGGGGCTGGTGCTGAGGTGGGTGGGGAGTCCAGCCCTGTGGAGCCCAAGGCCAGGGAACCTCTGCAGCTGCTATGGGGAACCCAGATAGCAGGCGGCCAGTGTGGAGTGGGGAGATGCCCAGCAGAAGTGGGGCTTGCAGCAGCTGAGGGGGATCCCCAGCCCAGAACACTAGTGGCAGTGGGAAGCCCCAGCCAGGTCAGGAACCCCAGCGGAGAGGGGCCAGCAGCTGCTGAGGAGAATCCCAGCCCAAGGAGGCTGACTCTCCCTATGGTCCGGGGACACCCACTGCCCAGAGAGGAGTCTTGACCTCTTCTGGTCCTGGACCACTCAGGTCCAGGCTGGCAGGAAATCCAACCTGAACTTTTATCATAACGCAATGGAAAACTCAACTCTATCATAAATTGAGTAGAAGCTCACATTACAGTGCAAGTTTCTCAGCAAAGCTCAATATGTTACTTATTAGATCTCTACAGAAAAAATGTGATAGGAAAACATGGGGGGCAGGATACACAAATAAAATTATCAGTGATAACAGGCCAGTGATTTGTAAGTTACATGTCTGTTTGTTTTAAGTTAAATATTGAATTCCAATTCCCCCAGGTTATTGTCATTTGGTTTATTCGTTAATTTGGACTGTGCTCCTTTGAGACTAAAAAATACAGAAGCAACACTTTACAAAGCCTGTTTTAGGAAAGAAACGTCAGGTCACTTTTTGCTGGAAGCTTTTGACATTTTCTGAGGGCCTGGAAAGTGATATTGCAAGAGGCTGAAACCCGAGGTGCAGTTTCCTCTCTCTGCATATCTGAAAAGGAGGGACTGTTAAATCAAATTTGCAACCCCATATTTCCATAGCATGTGTGTTTAGACTGCAGCATGGCCTCCACTTACTGCAATGGACTGTGCACAGAGGAGAAAGGTGTGTGGGGGGGGGGGACATGCATCACACTGCTGTGCAATTCAAAGGGTTCCCCGTGGCCCAGTCCCAGGAAGAGCGATGCCACGCGTTAGAGCATTTTCCAACCGAACCTGTCTCCACAGCTGCGGGCCCCTAGTGATTGATGTCCCGGGGCCGTCGATGGCCCGAGCGTCACGAGAGTTGGGCGCGCAAGAGGGTACTCGGGCCCCGCATCCTGCTCGGCTGCTTCTATGAGCAAGACCGATGCGCTGCCCCTTCTTGGCGCTGGCGTGAGGCGGGCGAGGCGCGGGGTCGCCAGTCACCGCGGGGTCCAGGCGACGCTCCACTAACGCAGCTGCGCAGGACCCGGCGAGACTCGGGGACTCAAGGTCCCAATCGGCTCCCACAGGCCGGCCTGGCGCGGAGTCCGCTGCTGAGTGGGAAGAGACCGCGGCCTCGCTGCCCCGGGGTCGGCCCGGATGAGCCCCCTCATCTCCTCCCCGGCCTACCGCCCTTGGGGGAGAGGCGGTTGGGGGTGTCAGTTAGAGGTCACCGCCGCCGCGTGACCCCGGGCGCGTCCTCACCATGCTGGCGCGCGGCGGGCTTCGAGGCTGAGGCTGGCACAGGAGAGCGGCGCGCGACTGAGGCACGAGGCAGCCCCGCGCGCTGCCCAGGCGCTGAAGAGGCCGGAGTGAGCGGTACATGGTGAGGGTGGGAGAACGGAAACCGCGGCGGGTCGGAGCAGGGGGCGGGGCAAGCTACTTTCTGACAGCAACTGCCGTGGGTAGGGGAGGCCCGCCTCCACTCAAGCCAATCAAGAGCCGGGAGCCGACACCAGGAGGCGGGCTCGCCCAGGTGAAAGCCAATGGGCAAGTTGAAAAAAGCGCGACAAGGGGTGAGGCTGCGCCCTATCCCCGCCCTTTGTTCCGCGGCCGCGCTTGGGCGTATTACGCGTGCCTGAGGGGAACCGAGCATGCGCGTGAGCGACTCGGAAGCCGCTGCCTTTCTCTGGCCTGGAGCGAGCGATGCTCCTCGCTGCTAAAGCCCAAGGGAGCGGGGTGGTCTGTAGCAAGCTGCTCCCTTATGGGAATGTGCTGCCGGTCGCGCTTCTGGTTAGCACGCTGGCAAGGAACTGCGCCTGTAAGATGGGGCCACCAGCCGCAGTTCCATGCAGTGCTCCGCCCGGACCTGCTCCGTGTAGCAATGTGCTCCTGGCGGCAGTTACTAGCAGCTTGGATTGTAAGAAACGGCTGTCACAAGACCTTGTAACTGAGAGTAGCGCAACTCTACGAGGAGCACTCACGTACTAACGAAGTGTAAGAAACTTTTATTGTAAAACACTAATACAATACAAGTAAATACTAATACAAGTAAAACACCTAGCCAATTCCTATAGACCCAGTGATTGTTATCATGGTTCAGGCTTCTCTCCCAGTGCATAAGAATTACTTCTTGTGTCTTGCTTACAACACTAGTGTTTGCTTTTTTTTTTTTTTTTTTGCAGGAATTTTACACTGTTGACTTGTATTTAGTTTATTGTCCAAAACACTTGCAAACCCCTCTCAATATGTTATCATTCTCTAAGCAGAGGTGACTGGTGAGAGGGGACTGGAGGGCTGGGCAAGGGCTAGGACAACACCTGTTCCTCCCCTCTTTTCCTCTGCCCTTGCCCGGCTCTATGGGCACTACTTTCCAACCTGCTTGGCACTCACCAAATTATAGCTCCAGCTAGGTTACATTAATATAAAAAAACTTTAGTAAAGTCAAGATATACCATGTCAACCTCTCTGCTCCTCCCCCTGCATCCATAAGGTTTATTACCTTGTCCAAACTGTCAGTTGTCTCGTTGTTTTTCCCCTTGAACTTGCTTCCTATGGCACCTTACCTACCACCTCCATGAGTTGGGTAAAGTCTGTCCCCTTTAAATCCACTGTCTTTATTTTGCTGTTCTCCCTCCTCCCATTACATAGTATCATGAACTCTGTAATTTCATGATCACTTTCACTCAAAGCGCCTTCCCCTTTCAGATTCTCAAACAGTTTATCGTAACCAAATCTATAGCAGCTTCTCCCTTAGGTGCTTTCTGTACTTTCTGAAATAAAATATTGTCTCCAATACATTCCCAGAACTTGTTGGGTAATCTATGTCCCACTGTTCTATTTTCCCACCAGATGTCTGAATAGGTGAACTTCCCCCTTTACCATGAGAACATAAGGTTGTTATGTGCTGACTTGTCCTGATTAGGTACACACTTGTACCTGATGTACCCAGCATATTTTTTTTGAGATGAGAAGACCATATCTGCATGTAGTACTCCAGATGCAGGTATATACCATGAAGTTATATAGCAGTAATAAGATATTATCTGTCTTTATTGTCTAGCCCTTTTTTTAATGATATCCAACAGTCTGTTTGCTTTTTAGACTGCTGCTACACATTGGCTATGTCTACACTCGCGGCTTCTTGTGCAAGAACTCTTGTGCAAGAAAATGTCCATACTGCCATGTGCGAGCTGTGCTTTTGCGCAAGAGCGCCCATGGCAGTGTGGAGCTGAACATCCACACTACCCTCTTGCGCAAGAGGGCTTACACCTGTCAAAAAAGAACGTAGCTCTTGCGCAAGGAGCCCTCTCTTACTACGCCGTACTGTAAATTTACTTGCGCAAGAGCGGGCGGGCAGTGTGGACGCTCTGCAGATTCTTGAGCAAGAACGGCTGTACTTGCGCAAGAAGCCGCAAGTTGAGTGGATGTCTTCAGAGAACTATCCTTGAAGAGCTCTTTCTTGAGTGTTAACATTTCTCCATTCCTGAGACTTTCACTCTCCTCAAAAGCGCAAAGGCTATGTGACCAGCGATGGGACTGGTCTACTATGTCCTGGAAAGTCTCATCTATGTACCTCTCTGCCTTCCTTAGCTCCTCCAATTCACCCACCATAGTCTCCAAAGCCCATACAAGGTCCCTGAGGGCCAGGTGCTCCTTGTACCTGCATATAGGGCTGGTAATCATACATGCTACATTGGATGCAATGAATAGGATAGTCTCCGCTCTTGGTGAAGGGCTTTGTCCCAAGAGTCCCTTCATGGTACTCTAGGGACAAAGGGGGGACTGTTAGGCCCTAGAAAAAATAGGCCTAGTGCAGTTATGCTAAAACAAATGTAACAAAGGTTTCTGGGTAGTCCCTGGGTAGAACTGGAGATAGGTTCAAGCAGGGACGCACCCTACACGCTTGCTCAAGTTGGCAAAATAAGATAAGCAAGAAGCTGCATTTTTGTACCTGCTGTGATAAGAAACAGTTTGTTTTGAGAACTGATAAGGAGACTCCGTTTCTGCTCTCCCCGTTTGTTCCAAACTCCCTGTTTATGTTCTCCTTTGGCCATAACGAATTGTCTCCTTATTGCCCAGTACCTGTTTTTTGGGCTGATAAGAAATTGCTAATGCATTATAAATTGCTTAAGGCCATAATGTATAGTTGGCCAGATATGCATAAGTATTAAAGGTTTCTAACTAATAAAGGGGGGTTGGTTGCTTGGGCAAATAGTCTATAACGCGACGGAACTGTCTATATAAGCCTACCTGTAAATAAAATCGTGGCTGGTTCACTTTGGAGACGGGCCGCTCTCTATTGTAAGTGCGCACTATTCAATAAAGAGCTTGTGATTGGATCTTGCTGGTGTTGCCTGTCTCTTTGCGGTCAGACAACGAACAGAGGCCGTCCGGGTTCGAGTCCCTGACAGCTTCATCCTGCACTCTCTTCTTATTCCTACAGCTTGTCCTTTTCAACGTTTTATTTTTTTAAAATCAGTTTGTTTTGTTTTTATTTTAAAGAACTTTAAAGACTGTTAAGTATTCAGTGTATCTAGCCCCTTTAAGGGCATATCTACATTACATGGAAGAACTCAGGAGACTACTGCAGTTATAAATGGGTTTGTCTGCGTGATGTAAAATGTGCTGCTGCTGCATCTGCAGCTTGACATAGACAATGAGTATTATGTAATATTTCCAAACCCAATGAAGTCAAGATATCTAAAAAAAAATCACACAGTACAGCTTAAATCTCTGCTCCAGGACACTCAGATGTTGCTCGACTAGAGAGCCCAAGCACTGAGGTTGCTGGCAGTTGGGAGCAGAACCGGTAAAGCAGGAGTCTTAAACTCAATTTACTTAGGGTCACTACTCAGCCCAAATCCCTGAACCCAAATGTAGCAAATTATTTGAGCTAAAGAAATTAAATCAGGAGTAATGTAAAGTACTTCACTTAGGAACGAACAATCAGTTTCATACATGGACACAATGATAGAGGTGTATTTTTAAAATGTAAAACTGTTACTATTATATATAAGACATATACAGGAAGGCTACGTCTACACTGGAGCATTCTCACGGAAAAACTCTTTTGCGGAAGAGTTCTTCTGAAAAAACTCTTCCAGAATAGAGCATCTACAGTGGCATGTGCTTTTGCACAAGAGCATCCATGCCAGTATAGACGCTCTCTTGCGCAAGAAAGCTCTGGTGGCCATTTTAACCATACAGCTTTCTTATGCAAGAAATTCATGTTGCCTGTCTACACTGGCCTCTTGCGCAATAATAGTTGTGCAAAAGGGCTAATTCCTGTGCGGGAACGTCAGAGTTCTGGCGCAAGAAGTCCTGATTTCATACATCAGAACATCAGTTTACTTGCACAAAAACACGCGGCCAGTGTAGACAGGCAGCAAGTTTTTGCTCAAGAGCGGCCACTTTTGCGTGAGATCACGCCAGTGTAGACACAGCTGTTATGTCGTGGGGAGTTTCACAGCATAGGAAGAAATCAGTGGAAAGGCAGAGAGCTGGAGTAGGTGCAAGTGTCCATTTTATTGCATAGCACAGAACTCACTAGAACAAGCCCAGACTAGCTGGGCTGACCCCAGTGACCTACTCAGTTACCATAACAACAAGATCTATATCTACAACCCAATATACAACAACAGCCAAACATTATATTTTTAATTTCAACAGTTTTGGAACAGTACACATTTGCACATACTTATAGATAGTTAAAACGTCTCTAGTAGCCGTGTTAGTCTGTACCTTGTACATTGTTATTAATACTTTTTACTGTATTGAAGTATAGAGTAACATTGCACTTCTCTAGTTCTCATTTATATAATCAGAAGTCTTATTTGCAGAAAACTTTTCACAAAATCACTGTAAAAATGTACATTTTAGTTACATAACAGGACTAAGCACACTTGTTGAATCTGTACTGTTTATTCTCACCACTCACGTTCTTTTCAGTAATTTCCTCAGGAATGCAAGACACGTGTGCTCACCTCTCACAAGAATCACACTGCACCTTTAATAGTACATGAGAAAACTAAATTAAAAAGTCACAATTATACAGATAATTTTGATAAAATGGTACAATTTACAAAATAATATTCCTTCAGAATATAATCCCCGCTGAAGATGACTATGAGCATTAGTGGAAATACTTGCTAATGTAAACTTTCTAACCGTCAGAGTGGTTAAGCACTGGAATAAATCGCTTAGGGAGATTGGGGAATCTCCATCACTGGAGATATTTAAGAACAGGTTAGATATACCTCTGTAAGGGATGAGCTAGATGGTGCTTGGTCCTGCCGTGAATGCAGGGGCCTGGACTTGACAGCCTC